ATGTATTTCAGTCAATCTGCCTGTTCTGTTCCCCACTCTGTCTCTGGTGAATCCGCTCACCCCCCCCCCCAAACTTCTGGCCTGTGTACCCTAGTTCTTATATGCATAAGTAAATAAATCTTTAAAAAAAAAAAAGAACCAATGACAAGAAAAGATAAGGACTGGTTTTAAAACATACTAGACTATGTAACACACAAAATAACCCTATGCAAAGAATAATTTTCAATAGTCTTTGAATTTTCACAGATGCTCTTCAGAAAACAGACTGAGCATCAGCCTAGATTAGAATTTGTAGATCCTTTTCTGCTAAATAGTTCCAATTCTACTGTCCATAAATATGAGAAAAATAAAGTCATTTAAGTCTCTTATAATTCTTTATCAGAATTTTCTTATATTAGTTGATACATCTATAAACATAGACACAGAAATTGTTCGGCTCTGACAAATGGTAGTGGTAGAATCTGAACTAACATATTCTGAAAATAACATAAACAGCCAAAAAAGGGAAAATTCTATAGTTGAGTTCTAGTTATTTTGTTTTTTAGTGTTTCAAGTTTTCTCAGAGGGGTTAAATTTCGTTTTGCCTATTAGAAATGCAGTTTATATAATTTCAAGATTAAAAAAATGACTTTCTATTATGAAAACTGCATCAGAATAGAAAAAAAAAAAAGCCTACTTTAACCATACAATTTAAAAAATTATAAACCATTCCCCTAACTATGGGTTCCTGGACCCTTACCCTGCTGTTTTTTCCTTTAGCACTTTTCATTGTCTAATAAATTATACTTATTTTGTAGATTTGTTAATTACTGATTTCTCTACATTAGAACATACACTCTTAAAAGGCAGGACTTTGTTTTGTTCAAATACCTAAGAACAACCTAGGACTAAAGGGATTAAAGAAGGCAAAAATCTGTTCAATGAATACACAAATAATTAAGTTGGGAATCCTATTTATAACAGTAAGCAATGTATTAACTCTTAGTTGTAAAGAGAGATTCAATAAAACACTAGTTAGGTGCCAAAGGCCCTGTCCACAATGATCATGAAATTCATTTCAGAAGAAAAGTGCTAAACAAATAAATGATCCAGCAGATACCACAAAGCTTTTCATAATCAATTGCTAAGTGGGTGATACAGTCAGGAGGGTATTACCTGAGGGCTTGAGAGAACTGAGAATGATTTCAAGGTATTTCAAGTAAGGTAAGCAACTTGAATATTTTTAGTAGGTAAGTACAAACAAAGCATTTTCATTCACTCTATCATGTGTTCATTAATTCTTTCAACAAATGTTTATTAAGCCAGAAATACACAGAAGATAGTCTCTATCCTCCAGAGTCTTATGATTTAGTGAAGGAGAAACATTTAATAAAGATAGAGCAAATCATCTTAGAAATATGTACAGAATTTTGGGAAGACAGAAGAATACTTCATTCTGTGGAAAGGACAGGGAAACCCTTAATCTTAAATTTGAAGGCTAGACAGGAAAAATTTACCAGGGAAATAAGGGCACTGAATGCAAAGGAACTGCATGCATAAGTGGCGCTTCTAACATAACAAATAACTCCTAATGGCACAAATGAAGTGTGCAGGTGTGTATTCAGAGTTAGAAGAAGGGTAGGTGGAAACCTGAAGCAGAGAATGAAAGGTAGAAGTGGTGCTGGAATAGAGAATGAGGATAAGATCATGAAAGGTTCTGAATGCCATGCCCTGGAATTTGAACTTGAGAAGTATAGTTAGTTTCTCAAATTGTAGTCTCCAAGGATCATTTGTATCTGAGTCATTGAGAGTAGCTATTTCCAAATTGTACTTTGGGACTTTATGGTCATAAAATTAACTTAATGGATTGGAAAACCACATGCAGTGGGCCTATTTTTTAATCTATGTATGTGTACATATTAAGCAGAGAGATCAAATCTATTTCCTACTATCACAGTCAAGTAAGTCAGGAAACACCAATCTAGATGGTTGTTAAAATGCAGTCATAGGTCCATACCAGACTTATTAAGTAAGTGGGAATATGACCTGGAATCTACACTTTTTTTTAATTTTTTTTTTAAGATTTATTTATTTATTTACACAAGCACTGGGTACAGTCAGAAGCATGAGAGGGTGAGAGAATTCATCAGAGCCAGAGCGGGGAACAGAACAGGCAGACTGACCATATACAATGATGAGGGGAGCAGCGGGCGGAGGTCTGCGCACCATGTGGGACCCTTGCCCAGTGGCCGAGGATCGAACCAGCGCTGCAGAGGCTGCGGGCAGCTTCGCAGCCCAGCGCTCAACCACTGCGCCACCAGGGGAGGCCCTTAAGTTTTTTGTTTTTTTTTTAAAGATTTATTTATTTATACAAGAACCAGGGTATAGGCCAGATTCGCCGGAGGGTGAGAGGATTCACCAGAGACAGAGCAGGGAACAAAACAGGCAGACTGATGAAATACACTGCTGAGGGGAGCAACAGGTGAGACAGGAGAGGTCTGCGGCATCATGTGGGACCCTCACTGGCCAGCCGGGATCAAACTGGCACTGCAGAGGCTGCGGATAGCTTCACAGTGCGGCACTCAACTGCCTGCGCCACCAGGGAGGCCCTGGAATCTACATTTTTAATAAGCACTAAGAAAGAGACGCCTATGCACACTCACATTGAGAATCACTGCTAAAGAGTATCTTGGAGCCACTGAAGGATGACAGAGTTCTGAAATGACTGATAGTAAAAAAAAAAAATGGAGAAAATGGAAATGAGAGATGGCCAGGGTAAATGAACAAAACAGTTGTTTTTTTTTTTTTAATTTCTTAAAAAGACTTATTTATTTATACAAGCACTGGGGTACAGGCCAGAGGCACGGGAGGGTGAGAGAATTCACCAGAGACAAAGCGGGGAGCAGAACAGGCAGAAGGACCAATGTGCACTGTTGAGGGGAGCAGCGGGCAAGACAGGAGAGGTCTGCAGCGCCATGTGGGACTCTCCCTGGCTGGCCAAGAATTGAACTGGTGCTGCAGAGGCTGCGGACAACTTCACAGCGCTGCGCTCAACCCGCCGTGGCACTGGGGAGGCTGAACAAAACAGTTTTTCTGAAAATAGTGAGGGTTCTTAAAGAGGAGCAGTGGAAGAAAAGATAGGGAAGATGTTAGTACTACATGTAAAAGACTTTTGAATTCAGGGCCATTTAGTTTTTAAACAATTTAAAGAACTATAACATGTCTGCTCAGTGGCTTAGCTGATAAAAGTGCCTAATGAAGAGTTACTATAATTTCTTCTAAAAATCACAATGATATGCTAAGGCATTATTCCAAAATGACTGTTTAATGGGAAGGTACTTAATAAATGGTAGTTATTATTTATAATCTCCTTGTGTAGAACTACATTATTCCTGTTTTATACTGCATCTCAACTGAGATGGCCTCTTTAATTTAGAAATGTGAATCAAAAATTTTAAATGAGCATACTCTTGATCTAGAAAATTTCCACTTCTGAAAAGTTACCTAAGGAAAAAGTCACATAAGAGTTCAAATTACATATTCAAAGCAGCTTTTTAAATAAATAAAATGAAAATAACCTGATCTATCCAAACAATAGATTTTAACTATTAACATGGATATATTAACTATTAACATGGACTATTAAGATACATTCCTGAGCAGAAAAAAGAAACAGTAGAATAAGAAATATAGCATGAGTCCATTTGTTTAAAAACTGTGATTATGTGATATATATATATACACATATGTATATATATGTGTTTACATGACTATATGTGTATAAGGAAAATTCTAGAAAAATACACATCTAATTTAACAGTAGTCTCTTCTGGTAAGTATACTAGAAAGGGAAGAAGGGAACTTTTGTTTTCAACACTTCATTGTTGAATAAATATTATGAAAAATAAAGATCTAGGGAAAAGAGATGCAGACTTATAGTTCATAGAAACATAGTACTTGTCTAGGAACATATTCATTAAATCATTATTCTAAATTATTTTCATAGATCCAGGGGAAGTACAAACAATATAAGGAATACCGTAAATATGACATGAAGAAATCTAGTTTTTGAAAATTTTAGTCATTCAGTTGCTGAATTACACACTATAAGTGGTATAGAGACTTTATAATGTAGACTTCTGTAATGGAGGATGTCAGCAATGTAGCTTGGTAGTCATTTCTTTTTTTTTTTTTTTAAGATTTATTTATTTATGCATACTAGAGCTGGGATATAGGCCAGAGGTTGGGGGGGGCGGGCGGGTGTGTGTGAGAGGATTCACCAGAGACAGAGTGGGGAGCAGAACAGGTGGACTGACCAAAATACACTGCTGAGGAGAGCAGCTGGCGAGACAGGAGAGGTCTGCTGTGCCATGTAGGTCACCTCCCTGGTTGGGGAGCGAACTCATGGCTGTGGATTGCTTCATAGTGCTGACATTTATAATGCTGACATTTAAACCCTTGCACCACCAGGGAGGCCCCCGGTAGTCATTTATTTCTTAAACAATACAGACTACTGACTATTACTAGGTGCTACACCAGACAGTGCCAACCCCAGCAAAATGCACAAACACGAAAATATTTTGTGTAACTCCTATGCATTTCTATTCTTCTTTTCCACATTGGGATTAATTTAAGTTTCACTGTTGAATATCCTCTTGAGTTATACCAGTATCTTATAATCACAGTGCCTATAATATTCAGCAAGAGGAGTGTATATTTTCTACTGAACTGGCAAGAGGCCACAAATTGAAGATAATTAGAACATTTTTGAGAAGGTTTTCTTATAGAAAACAATGGTAATCTCCACTGATACTAGAGAATCTTGTCTGCAAAAGGATTTTTTTTTTCAGCACCGGGAAAGATTTTGAATAGTCTTCATTCCTCACACACATGTATAAGTCAACAAGCAGAAAAGTGAACAAAGAACTTAAAACGGCTTTTCAAATACAGGTTAAAAATACAAACAGAAATTACAGAAATAAATTAATATCAAATAATAGAAATGATTATATCAAACATACCATTGAAAGGATTGATTCCTGCTCTTACTCTTGAAAAAATAGCTTCTTTTACTTCTTTTTTCTTCACACATCGAATACCTAAATTTTGAAAACTAGAAGGAAAAAAAGATTTTTCATACTGCATTACAGCAAAACACAAAAACTAATAAATGGAGTTGTACTAATTAATACTGCAGAAATCAAGCACCACTGAGTCACATTGTTAAACAAATATATTAAAGCATGAAATACATTTCCAATTGGTATAATAAAGATGTAAAGGCAGAAAAGTGGGACTGTATTTCTAAGCAAACCATTCAAAGAATAGCATGTACTATATCATTTTTACAGATGGTATTTACAACTATACCTTACGAGTATGTCAAATATACCAAAGTAGATGGAGATTAACAAGAAAGTGACAGCTGAAAACTAAAATTATTATCCAAAACAAATTCATAATCAAATCAAATCTCTGTACTTGATAATGTAAAATAAAAGTTGCAAAAAGATCCACATAGGCTTACTTCCATAGGTATGTTTTGCTGAGCCCATAAAAGTGCTTACCTTTATTTAAAAAAAAAGTGCAGACTACCAACATTTAAAAATCAGGTAATTTCATATAAAATGTACTTCTGGCTTTTCTTGAATGTTTTAAAGTCTTGCAACAGTGTGCTGGCATAGAAACACTGGCTATAGCTTACTAGCCTCTGCAGCCCCATTTAAGAAGCACTTTCCAGTTCACTACAGTACCTGGTAGTTCTCTTATACTTAGGGAGCTCTGACTTCACTGCTAGTAGCAGCAAAATAAATTATTATGTAGAATTATAAAAGAAGTTAAAATAGTAATTTATCATTGAAAATTTTTTTAATTACAAAAATGTTTAATACTAACAATAATATTTAAGCAAAGGTTCAAAATGTCATTTATGGAAAACTTCTCAATAGCTACAAATATTACTAATTTGCATATGTATATACAGATGATGGTGGGGGGAACTCCCCTGCCACCACCAGTCATACTTGTTCCCACATGGAAAAACCATGACATCATTAAAGCTGGGTGGGTGTGAATAAGGAAGCAAAACCTGATTATAATAACATTACTATTTATTCAAACTGCACATAGCACCTTGCAGTAAGAAACTGTCTGCCTTGTTTGCCCCTCTCCATGTCCATCCTATCTTCATCTCTTCACATTCACCACACTTATGATTCTGTTAGCACCGAAAATCTTTGACATTTCTTCCTCTGCTCCAATAATTAAAAATCAAATATTGAATTCACAATCCTTTCTTGAAACTATAATTCTCTCCTGCAAAAGTATTCTACTTCTTTGAAAGATGCTTAGCTTGGTCCTCACTTTTTCTTTCACAAAAGATTTTAAAGAATTTGTCATTTTAATATATTTATATGCTACTTGATTTGGTCTCATATGAGTAATCATATCTGATGATTATTCACAAACTATTAGAAGTAGTAGGGATTTCTTCTGACATGAAGAAACCAAGGATCATAGAGATTATTTGAATCAATCATTCACTCATAGTTGTTGGGTTTTTTTTTACAGATTTATTTATTTATGCATACAAGAACTGGGGTACTGGCAAGAGATGCGAGAGTTGAGAGGATTCACCAGAGACAGAGTGGGGAGCAGAACAGGCAGACTAAATGAAATACACTGCTGAGGGGAGCAGCAGGCAAGACAGGAGAGGTCTGCTGCGCCATGTGGGTTAGCTCCCTGGCCAAGGATGTAATTCGTGCTGCAGCAGCTGTGGATTGCTTCACAGTGCTGACACTTAACCCCTTGTGCTACCACGGAGGTGCCCATTCACTCATAGTTACTAATTTTGGGGGTTCCTAATATGCACCCAAACTCTGGAAAGGAATACATTTATATAAACCTCCTCATGGAGTGTAAATGTAGTGCAGGGACTGGCAAACTATAGCCCCGTTGACCAAAACCAGTCCACCACCTGGTTTTGTAAATATAGTGTTACTGGAGCCAGCCAAAGTGATTTGTTTACTATGGGTGTTTTAAAGCAAAAACAGAGTTGAACACACAGACCAAAGAACATGTGGCCTCAAAGTATAGAATATTTACTATCTGGTCCTTTACAGAAAAAAGTTTTCTGACCCCTAGAGTAGTGAAGCAGAAAGAAATTAAGTGATCACACAAAAAATGCTAAACTGAAACCATGACAAGTTTTATAAAGAAGATATACATGATGTCATGGAGCCTATTTTGGAAAAGTGTCTATCAATTCAGGAAGGGGAGACAAGCCACTTGTTTGCCCCTTTCTGTGCTGATGCTGTCTTATCTTCATGCAGGAAGACAATATACTATGAATAGAAATGAACTAGAAGAGGAAAGAATTTCAGGAAGAAGGGACACAGCATGGCAAAAAATACAGAACATTGTGAGAAAGAAAGAACATTGTGATTGGAGTACACAGTTCAAGAGGAGTACAATATAAGAGGTTAGAAATACAAGTGGGCCATGTGTACCTTGTAGACTATATAAGGAACACTGTCCTTATTCCACATAAATCATTAAAATGTTTTAGACAGGGAGGGAGGGCAATCCAATCTCTATTTGAAAAAAATCACTCAATGAATGAATGAATAAATAATTTCTTAAGATTAAAATTTAAAAAAAAATCATTTTGGCTAAAGTGGAAGATAGACTGGGAAGAGAGGTACAAAAAAATGTTGATGCAAGAACACCAGTCAGGGGACTACTCATTCAGTCCACATTTAGGCTTCAATGGCAATACTGTGATGATGATGGAGGTCACTAAGAGAAGTGAGCAGTTTCTAGAGCAATTTATGAGATTCTTTTTTTTTTTTAAAGATTTATTTTATTTATTTATGTATACAAGAGCTGGGGTGTAGGCCAGAGATGCAGGAGGGAAGTGAGAAGATTCACCAGAGACAGAGTGGGGAGCAGAGCAGGAGGATCTACTCAAATACACTGCTGAGAGGAGCGGCAGGTGAGACAGGAGAGGTCTGCTGCGCCATGTGGGTCAGCATGTTGGCCAGGGATTGAACTTGTGCTGCAGTGGCTGCCCACGGCTTCATGGTGCTGAGACTTAACCCCTTGTGCCACCAGGGAGGCCCCCATGAGATACTCTTAGTGAAGCAATGTGCATACCTGTGTGAGGTGACATCCCTAAAGTTTGACCTTTTTCAGTAACCACTAAGATAAGATATATTGGAAGGCCAATTTTGAGATGAAGGATAAGATCACTGTTTGAGGCATTCTAAGAGAGTAAGTGAAAAAGACAATCAGATTAACACCATTGCCCCCTGAAAGGAAGTAGGGCTCCTTAGGTAAAAAATGATGATTTCAGAACTGGGGCAAGAAAAGTATGAGTAAGTCTTGAACACTGTTGTGTCAGAAAGTAAGTGCTCAGAGAAAGACAGTGTCATGTCAAAAGAAGGTTTTTTTGATCAAATGTGGGTCAGCTTGAAAATCAAAACAGTAATTCTAGTAAAGGACTTCAGCGGATTGTATATAAGAATCCATAGGGCTATCATGGTATTTTCTTTTCTTTTTTTTTTTTAAATAGAGGCATGTTTTATTTATTTATTTATTGTTTGTTTTGTTGTTTTATACATGCACTGGGTACAGTCAGAAGCGCGGGAGGGTGAGAGAATTCACCAGAGCCAGAGCAGGGAGCAGAGCAGGCAGAAGGACCGAAGTACACTGCTGAGGGGAGCAGCAGGCCGCAGGAGAGGTCTGCGCGCCATGTGGGACCCTCCTCTGGTGGCCGGGGAGCAGCTGGGGATCGAACCGGCGCCGCAGAGGCCGCGGGCAGCTTCGCAACCCAGCGCTCAACCGCTGCGCCACCGGGGAGGCCCTATCATGGTATTTTCTTAAGGAGGGGAAGGGAAACTTTTTCTTTACAAAAGAAAGTCAATTAAATCACAAATAGTACTGCATGTCTCCAGAAAGGATATTTTGAGAATATAGTATTCACTTTTGCACATTTCTTGCCCAAAATGTTTCCTGTTAATATGAAATTATTATTCGTATTAATGGTACCATGGATATAATCATGAGCAACCATGTAGATTAATACACATTGAAAAACAATCTTCAAATCAAATAGCCTAGACTTCAAAAATATTAATGCCATGAAAATTCAAAAATGACTGGAAAAATGTTTTAAATTAAAGGAGACTAAATAAATACGATAACAAAATATAATTTATGAGCCTTATCAGGATCCTGGATTGGCGGAAAGGCAGGACAGCCAGAACTGGACATTATTGCATATAACTGAGGTTACCCTAAAATTTAACTGCCTATAACTAAGATCAAGAAGAAACAGCCAGGACCTCCCTGGTGGCACAAAGGGTTAAGTCACAGCACTATGAAGCTATCTGCCGTCACTGTAGCATGAGTTCTATCCATGGCCAGGGAGCTGACCCACATGGAGCAGTAGACTGCTCCTGTTCTGCCAGCTGCTCCCTTCAGCAGTGTATTTCAGTCAATCTGCCTGTTCTGTTCCCCACTCTGTCTCTGGTGAATCCTCTCACCCCCCAACACCTTTGACCTGTATGCATAAATAAATAAATCTTAAAAACAAAAAAAAGGAGCAGCCAGAAAAGTAGGAAGTAAAACAGGGGAGTTTGATCCCACAAAAATCAAAAAATAAGACTGTTTCAAGAAAGGACATTTCAAATGTCCTAATGTTGTTCGGAGGTTACATAATATAAAAAAAGAAGTATTTCTTGGGCCTCCCCGGTGGCACAAGGGGTTAAGCACCACACTATGAAGTAATAAGCAGCCTTTGCAGCATGAGTTCAATCCCTGGCCAGCCAGGGAGAAAACCACATGGCACAGCAGACCTCTCCTGTCTCGCCCACTGCTCCCCTCAGTAGTGTATTTCAATCAGTCTGCCTGTTCTGTTCCCCATGCTGTCTCTGGTGAATCCTCTCACCCACTGCATATCTGTATATATATACAGCTCTTGTATACATATATAAATAAATCTTTTTAAAAAAATCAACAATAGGGGCCTCCCTGGTGGCACAGCAGGTTGAGCGCAGTGCTGTGAAGCTGTCTTCAGCCTCTGCAGCGCCGGTTTGATTCCCGGTCACCAGGAAGATTCCCACATGGCGTGGCAGGCCTCTCCTGTCTCGCCCGCCACTCCCCTCTGCAGTGCTTTTGGTCTGTCTGCGTGTTCTGTTCCCCACTCTGTCTCTGGTGAATCCTCTCACTCTCCCAAGCCTCTGGCCTGTACCCCAGCTACAGGGGTATTATTGTATGAATAAAAAATAAATCTTAAAAAAAAAACAATAAGTAAGTATTCCTGCTACCATTGTGAGCTGTAACTATTAATGAAGAATTAAAGGTTAGTGCTAATGCAAATGGTAAGAAAATTTAAATGTACACGATCATAAATAGAAGTAGAATGAGAAATTAGTTTATTCTGCTAAAAAAGTAACACAGGCACATGGATATGAAGTAAGTTGTCAACACTTCCTTATTCCTTAAGATGTCTGTGACTGTGTACTTACAACAAAGGTCTGCGTTCTTGTCCAAATTCTGCTTCATAGTAGCCATCTCTGCAGTCCTTTCCTACCAAATCATGAGGATGTGGTTTATATGGGTCATTTTTTGTTACTAAAGTAATTCTCACTTTTCCTTTTCCACAATAGTTCTTAATCTGAAAAGAGAAATAAAATATATGATCTATAAACAAAATCTGAACTATCAGAGTTCCCTTTACATAATGTAGTTAGTACCACATAAAGTCCAAATGACAGGTAATTGCACCTTGGATAAAATCTTCCAGAGAATACCAATAGGGAAGAATTTAACTCTCAGTTCCTTGTCATATTAATTTCTTCCCGAATTTCAGCTGGTCTTCCATCTGATTCTGCTTATTTTCCTTACAAACCAAGTAAAACTATACCAAAATTTTATCAGAGAGCAAGAAGAAACACTTAGATGTTAAATCACTGAATGCACTACTCAGATTGATTGTTATACTACAAATGTCCCTTAAAGTATAAATGTAAGTACACTGGATGATAGCACCAACATGATCATTCACTTGCTAAGGGACATTTCATTTCACAAAATTATTTTTGTTAATCAGTAAGCATATCTCACGTGTCCACTGCATATAAAGCAGGCAATAAAGCAAGCTGAGTTTCATAAAATTAAATTTTTTGACAGAAAGTACAACTAGGACAAAGTGAATAAAGAAGAAAAGTTAAACATGAGAGAGGAAGGAGTGTATTCTGAGCGTGGTGAAGAGCTAATGCTTAGTTTGGAAGCTAGCAAATTTGCAAGCATAAAGCAGGGAATATAAAAACCAGCACATGACATGGGTAACTCAAAAGGCAGAAGTCACCAAAATTCCTAATTTTGAATTTAAAATTAATTTGAACAGTAAGCAGGAAGAACAGTAAGCAGGAAGTATTTCTTGTGTTTCTGAATGAATGAGAAGGTAACTTCTCAAAACTGTAAGATAGCTAATGTAGAATGCAAGCTGTAAAGAATTTAGAGCCAACTGGAATAAGGATAGATTTAAAAAATATTTTAGAGAACATACCCAAAAAAGCTGATTTATATAAAGCTGAATAACGGAGAAGAGATACAAAATCACTTTTTAAAGGATAAGAATAGTGTTTTCTTTACCTTTTATAGCATCTCTCCCATTTAAACACTTAAAAAAGGATTTAGTTAATCAAATCCATATTGCTGTCAAAACATGTGAATAAAATCAGGAATTTGAAATTCAGTACATAATTTTGTCATTGGCATAATATATAATTTAGCATTTCCTTTAAGATCAATAGGAAAAACTGAAAAACAGATTTACAAAAGTAAATCTACTTTTACTTTCAAAGTAAATCTATACTGGGCCTCCCTAGTGGTGCAAGGGGTTAAGCACAGCATTATGAAACTATCCGCAGCCACTGCAGAATGAGTTCAATCCCTGGCCACCCAGGGAGATATCCACATGGCGAGGCAGATCTCTCCTGTCTCACCCACTGGTCCCCTCAGCAATGTATTTCAGTCAGTCTACCTGTTCTATTTCCCACTCTGTCTCTAGTGAATTCTCTCACCCGCAGCACCTCTGGCCTGTACCCTGGTTCTTGTGTGCATAAATAAATAAATAAATCTTTAAAAAAAATTAATTCTACATTTACTTTATAAGTAAATTTACTTAGAAAACAGTAAATTAAGATCTGTTGATAAAAGTTTAATACCTTCAAATTCCAGTCATTAAGGTTTTTTTTTTTTTTTTTTTTTTTTTTTTTTATAGAGGCATGCTTTATTTATTTGTTTGCTGGTTTGTTTGTTTGTTTTGTTTATACATGCACTGGGTACAGTCAGAAGCGCGGGAGGGCGAGAGAATTCACCAGAGCCAGAGCGGGGAGCAGAGCAGGCAGAAGGACCGAAGTACACTGCTGAGGGGAGCAGCGGGCGGCAGGAGAGGTCTGCGCGCCATGTGGGACCCTCCTCTGGTGGCCGGGGAGCAGCCGGGGATCGAACCGGCGCCGCAGAGGCCGCGCGCAGCTTCGCAACCCAGCGCTCAACCGCTGCGCCACCGGGGAGGCCCTATTAAGGTTTTTGATTGGCATTTAAAGGATTAAAAAATTCACTAAGAATCAAATGAAATGAAGTATGAAATATTGTATGAGGTGCATTATTATAAATATGAATGTAAATATATAACCACAATATCATAATTACAAATAATATATACAGTACATTTTATAAATATAGTATTATTACCGAAGTCATGATGAATTAAAAACTAATCTCAAAATTTATGATAATATGAAAAAACTATATTTAACAGGTGACTATATTTCAAATCAGTCAATGCAACCCCAAAGTATCAGGGACAGGCAACAAAGGTAATGGGTGGGTGGGTGGGGACAGGAAAGACAAAATGTTCTCTCCATAGTCCTTAGATTAAGCCAAGTGACTGCAGAAAGAATTCTAATTGAGGGCCTCCCTGGTGGCACAAGGGGTTATGAGGCAACCTATGAAGCCATCTGCAGCCTCTGCAGCACAAGTTCGATCCCTGGCCAGGGAGCTACCCACATGGCACAGCAGACCTCTCCTGACTCGCCTGCTGCTCCCCTCGGCAGTGTATTTCAGTCAATCCTCCTTTTCTGCTCCCTACTCTGTCTCTGGTGAATCCTCTCATCCTCTGCATCTCTGGCCTGTACCCCAGTTCTTGTATGTATAAATAAATAAATCTTTAAAAAAAAAAGAATTCTAATTGAGTTCCCAAATCCATGTTTTTATTTTTTTTATTTATTTTTTTTTTTTTAAAGAGTTATTTATTTATTTATTTATTCATTCATTCATTCATTCATTTATGCAAGCACTGGGTACAGTCAGAAGCGTGGGAGGGTGAGAGAATTCACCAGAGCGGGAAGCAGAGCAGGCAGAAGGACCGAAGTACACTGCTGAGGGGAGCAGCGGGCGGCAGGAGAGGTCTGCGCGCCATGCGGGACCCTCCTCCAGTGGCCGGGGAGCAGCTGGGGATTGAACCGGCGCCGCGGAGGCTGCGGGCAGCTTTGCAACCCAGCGCTCAACCCCTGCGCCACCGGGGAAGCCCGCAAATCCATGTTTTTAACCTAAAGAATAACTTTGCTCACCTCTGGAAGAAGAGAATGCCTTTTCCTCATTAGCTCTGTGATTCAAGAAAGGGATCACCACCCAAAAGCTGCCAATGTATAAATCACTATAAATCACTCTACTTAGATTAATATACAATGTCTAACTATCTGCGCAGATGTAGAATCAATACTATAATTAAGAAATGTCTCAAGACCTCTATCTAGAATATACCAATTTAAAAGAATAAAAAAGAAAAGCTGAGGAAATGACCGAAGAAAGGTCTTTAATAGAGCTATTCAGCTGAAATAAGCAACTAAGAAACACACAGGAGAATGAATGATGTTATTACCTGGATAGACGGGTATGTTCGGTTGTTTTCGGTGCTGCGCTCCCCTGGAATGCTGCCTGCTGATCGCCCTTCACATTTGTATCTAAAACGCATTCCTCTCTGCCTGGGCTGTTCAAATATCTCAATGTATGGGTTACACCCACCTGAAAATTAATGGGGAGAGTAATATTAGGATAGCAATAATAGCATTTTGTTTTCTTCAAAACAGCAAACAAAAAGATTTTTCTTCCCAATAATACATAACAAGATTGAAATACAATTATTCAAGATTGAGGGGTAAAGAAACTTTTTTCTGAGTCCTTATGCAGTATTATAACACAATCATTCAAATCACAATGATGAGAACTTTACAACTTAATATGTATAGCTAATACCAGTGTGAAATTTTGAGATGAATAGTTCAGAAATAAGCACTTTTCACGAGACCAAGCAGAACGACTTCCCTCAAGATTCCCCAAGAAGGATCAAGAAGTTAATTTCCGCAGCCACTGCAGCACAAGTTCAATTCCCGGCTGGCCAGGGAGAAACCCTCATGGTGGGACAGATCTCTCCTGTCTCGCCCCCTGCTCCCCTCAGCAGTTTACTTCAGTCCATCTGCCTATTCTATTTCCCACTCTATCTCTGGTGAATCCTCTCACCCCCCACCCATGCATCTCTGGCCTGTACCCCAATTCTTGTATAAAAATAAATAAATCTTAAAAAAAAAGAGTTAAGCTTGGGCCTCCCTGGAGGCACAAGGGGTTAAGATGCAACACTATGAAGCTATCCACAGCCTCTGCAGCATGAGTTCAGTCCCCAGCCATGCGGCTACCCTCAGCAGTGTATTTCAGTCAGTGGGCTGTTCTGTTCCCCACTGTCTCTGGTGAATCTTCTTTCTCTCTCTCTCTCTCTCTCTCTCTCTCACACACACACACACACACACACCCCTCTGGCCCACACGCCAGTGCTTGTATGCATAAATAAATCTTTTAAAAAAAGTTAATCTTCAGAAATACTGTATTATATTCCAAAAGTGAATTTATCTGCTTGGTTTTACATTAGATCCTTAATAGCAGACTAAAAGGCCATTCACTGAAAACAAAAATGCATTTAAATCCTTACAAAGGAATTTTTTTAATCTCTCTTTTGGAATCTTAAGACTTACAAAGAGCACACCAAAACAAGTTCCAAAAGGGACTTTAGGCTTAACAGAAATTTCAATCAGTCCCATCTAAACCTCTTCTAAAGGATAAGACACAATGGAGAAAAAATAATTATTTTTGTAACAAATACAATTCAAAATATGCACCTTTAGAATGAACAACTGAGATACAAAAGGATCTCAAAATAAGTATGCTGAAAGGAGATCAAAAGAACAAATACTGTAGGATTCCATTTATATAAAACTCTAGCATATATAAGTTAATTTGTAAAAAACCAAAAACAAACAAACAAAAAACAGCTGCTTAAGAATGGAGGTATGAGGCCTCCCTAGTGGCACAAGGGCACAAGATTCCCCAAGAATCTTGTGGATTCATAGTCTCAGCACTGTGAAGCTATCAGCAGCTAATGCAGGAAGAGTTCCATCCCTGGCCAGGGAGCTGACCCACATGGCGCAGCAGGCCTCTCCTGTCTGCCTGCTGGTCCTCTCAGCAATGTATTTCAGTCAATGGGTCTGTTCTGCTCCCCATTCTGTCTCTGGTGAATCCACTCACCGCCCACTGGCACCTCTTGCATGCAAAAACAAATAAATCTTTAAAAAAACAACAACAAAAAAAGAATGGAAGTGTGGAGTGGACGGGGGGGGGGGGGGGGGGGGGGGGGGGGGGGGTGGGGGGGGGGGGGGGGTGGGGGGGGGGGGGGGGGTGGGGGGGTGGGGGGGGGTGGGGGGGGGAACTTTTGGGGAATGATGGATATGTTAATTTTCTTGATTGTGATGATTTCGTTTGTATACTTAGGTCAAAACTGATCAAACTGCATACTTTAAACATTTGTAATTCATTGTAGAATAATCATTTGTCAACAAAGTTGTCTAAAACATATTCATCTTGGGCCTCGCTAATAGCGCAAGGGGTTAAGCACCGCACTATGAAGCAATCCACAACCTCCACAGCAGCACGAGTTCAATCCCCAGCCGGCCAGGGAGCAACCCACATGGCGAAGCAGACCTCTCCTGTCTCGACTGCTGCTCCCCTCAGCAGTGTATTTCAGTCGGTCTGCCTGTTCTGTTCCCCACGCTGTCTCTGGTGAATCCTCTCACACACACCCCCGCCACATCTCTGGCCTGTACCCCAGTTCTTGTATGCATAAAATAAATAAATCCTTTTAAAAAAATAAAAATAAAGCATTCACATTTAGCCCCTGTTATTATCCATGTTCAGTGAAGACATTCACTCTGTGCTCACAAGTAGTGTATTTAGTGTCTTCATTTTAGGGGTGTGAAGATATGTTCCATTCCAAAAAATATAAACTCCCTCAGTCAACTTAGTGATTTGCAAACTCCCATAATTAGATACTCATTTCTTTAACTACAGCCTTATTCTCTGTTAAAATGTATGCAAATCTGCAGAAAGGGTACCACAGTGGGTCTTACCAGTACAATGTGGGAAAGAGGCCATTTGAATCCTATTCAGCTATACTTATGGGTGAAAATGCAGGAATGTCCACACCTATCTTGTCTCTGACTTTTTAAATTGGGGACAACACTAATAGCACCTATCTCCTAGGCTGTTGTGAGGATTAGAGTAACATGTAAGCTCTTATCTAGTAATGTACACATAACACTTACTTAGTCTTTTATTATTTCAACTACTTTCTTTTTTTTTTTTTTTTTAAAGATTTATTTATTTATACAAGCACTGGGTACAGTCAGAAGCGTGGGAGGGTGAGAGAATTCACCAGAGCCAGAGTGGGGAACAGAACAGGCAGACTGACGAAATACGCTGCTGAGGCGAGCAGCGGGCAGCAGGAGAGGTCTGCGCGCCATATGAGCGCCCAGTGCTCAACCACTGCACCACCGGGGAGGCCCTCAACCACTTTCTTAAAACATTTTTATTTATAGGTGATACCATGATGGTATCACAAGTGCTACTTTCAAGGATTTTTACAAAATAATTATTATACTATTAAAAAAAACAACACAATTTTTGTTTATGCTAACAGAAATTTGCATAAAATAGAGGAAAAGAGTCAGGGATGCCAAAGTATGTCAAAGGAAACAAAGGGCTACTATGGGCCTCCCTGGTGGAGCAAGAGTGAAAGGATGTACTATCAAGCTATTGACAGCCACTGCAGCAGGTGTTCAGTCCCCAGCCAGGGAGCTAACCTACGTGGTGCAGCAGACCTCTCCTGTCTTGCCCACTGCTCCCCTCAGCAGTGTATTTCAGTAGATTGCCTGTTCTGCTCCCCACTCTGTCTCTGGTGAAACCTCTCCCCCCCTCCACCTCTGGCCTACACCCCAGCTCTTAGATGCCTAACAAATAAAATAAATCTTTTTTTTAAAGAAAGAGTTAATAGGGTCTCCCTGGTGACCCAAGGGTTCAGTCGCAGCACTAAGAAGCTATCTGCAGCCACTGCAGCATCACTGAAGCTCAATCCCCAGCCAGTCCAGGAGCTAACCCACATGGTACAGCAGACCTCCCATGCTGCCTGCTGCTCCCCTCAGCAGTGTATTTCAGTAGATCTGCCTGTTCTGTTCCCCACTCTGTCTCTGGTGAATCCTCTCACTCCCCACACCTCTAGCCTGTACCCCAGCTCTTGTATGCATAAATAAATCTTTTTTAAAAAGGTCAATAAAGCAAAAAGGAGAAAGATAAAAGGAAAGCATGTCCAAAGGTGTGACAATACAGAATAGTTTAAGAATCATTAATATATTGGGGCCTCCCTAGTGGTGCAAGGGGTTAAGCACAGGACTATGAAGCTAACCACAGCCTCTGCAGCACGAGTTTGATCCCCTGCTCAGCCAGGGAGCTACCCACATGGTGCAGCGGACCTCTCCTGACTCTGAAACACTTCATACTTAGAGAATTTAAAGCCAGAGTACATCTGGGGGATACTGATTTCATTCTATGAGTGACAGAGTATTAATGAATGGCTTAATGAAAGGAAATTATCATCAGATTGGCATTTTTTAAAAAGATTTATTTATTTATGCATACAAGAACTGGAGTACAGGCCAGAGATTTGGGGGTGGGGGAGATGAGAGAACTCACCAAAGAGAGAATGGGGAACACAACAATCAGATTGACTGAAATATGCTGCTGAGGGGAGCAGCGGGGGAGTCAGGAGAGGTCTGCTGTGCCATGTGGGTAGCTCCCTGGCTGGGGATTGAACTCATGCTGTGGTTGCTGGGGATAGCTTCAGAGAGCTGCATCTTAACCCCTTGTGCCTCCAAGGAGGCCCCAGATTGGAATTTTAAAGTAAGGATTCTGATGGCAGTGGACAGACTGAAGAGAACAAAGCAAGCTGATCAGTTTAGAGATAGTTACAATAATGTGGGCAATAATGAGTATATGTCTTAAATATGACAGTGATAATAGGAATGAAGAATTTTTTTAAAAGATTTATTTATGCATACAAAAACTAGGTGTAGGTCAGAGGTGCAGGGGGTGAGAAGATTCACCAGAGACAATGGGGAGCAGACATGGATCTACTGCTGAGAAGAGGTATGCTGAGCCATGTGGGTCAGCTCCCTGGCCTGTGATAGCTTGACAGCACTGAGATTTTAACCCCTGTGCCACCAGGAAGAGGCGGGGGGCTCCAGGAATGATTATTTTAAAGATTGACAGTTCTTGGTCAATGACTGAACATTAGGTGATGACTCCAGCCTCCGCTGTGAGTAAAGCATTACTATTACCTTTTAATTTTTCTCTGTTTGGATCAGATGTCTAATTTTTTTTTAAATTCAAAAGACAGGGAAAACTGACTTTAAATCAAGTTCATGATACTTATTTCAATTTTATTAAAAACTTTAATGCCTAGAGATGGAGCATTCAACAATTTCACATCCTTATATATCCTTATATATTTCAAACAATTCAAATTCACATTTCAGTTTCAAATATTTCATAACCCTATATATCTTTGTAGGAATAATATTTAAAAGTATGTCTTTCAATAGTTCAAAATATTCATCAGCATTTTTAAAGTAATAGCTTAAATCATTTATGTGGTTGAACTAAAGGTCAAATAAATCCCTGCCTACTATTTATTTAAAGGTGTCTTGATGGGAAGTTGATATAAAGTAACATCATTAGTGGTAAAGGGCTAATTGGAGGAGGGGTGAATAAAAATGCTAGGCTTATACTGAGTATTCAAATATTACAGTAGTTATATACAATGCTTCCTTAAACTAGAGAGTATGTTGGGCTTCCCCGGTGGCGCAGCGGTTGAGCGCTGGGTTGCGAAGCTGCCCGCAGCCTCTGCAGTGCCGGTTTGATCCCCGGCTGCTCCCCGGCCACCAGAGGAGGGTCCCACATGGCGCACAGACCTCTCCTGCCTCCCCTCAGCAGTGTACTTCGGTCCTTCTGCCTGCTCTGCTCCCTGCTCTGGCTCTGGTGAATTCTCTCACCCTCCTGCGCTTCTGACTGTACCCAGTGCTTGTATAAATAAATAAGTAAATCTTTAAAAAAAAACCAAAAAACTAGAGAGTATGTTTATGGGAAAAGTCTATAGCCAAGGGGACAGAAAAACAGTAGTTGAAAAGTTAAATAAAACATTAAAAAAATTTAAACTATAAAAATGACAGAAATAGCGGCTTCCCTGGTGGTGCAAGGAGTTAAGATGCAACCTTTGAAGCTATCTGCAGAGTTTGATCCCCCCTACCCACCAGGGAGCAACCCACATGGGGCAGCAGACCTGACTCGCCCACTGCTCCCTTCAGCAGTGTATTTCGGTCAATCTGCCTGTTCTGTTCCCCAATCTCTCTGGTGAATTCTCTCACCCTCCACACCTCTGGCCTGTACCCCAGTTCTTGTAAAGATAAATAAATAAATCTTTAAAAAAAAAAAAAAGACAGAAATATTAGTTATATAACATCAAGTACTGAAAAAAACTGTGAAATCTAGTCTTATCATATAAGATCTTTATTGGTTAAAAAAAAGTTTCACTTACAACCATGTAACATAGTTTACTGAATAGTCTATATTCCTCCAGTTGAAAATAATCTCCCCTTCTTCTCAATTACCATAAATTTTTATGGCAATTATTCCAAATAATTTTGGAAAGATCCACTGTTTTATCTGTTCTTGAAAAAAGCTACTTGTAGGCAGGAACTCTGTTTTACTCATCAGCACCTTGCACACAGATATTCAGTAAATATCTGTTGAATGAATGACAGAAATCTAAGGATTTTTTTGTTTGTGTAAGTTATAGAAACTGAAGGACTACATTATTAGTTAATCAGATTTACCTTATTAGATTCTACTACTAGGAAAAAATAGTGCTTTGTAGGTACTGGACTCGCTGTATATTCATGCTCATAAAGATCCATTCATATTCTGATATATTTATCTGTATTTAATGATTTTCTAAAAATTCCCCAGCTATAAATCTATATTATGCATCAGAGCAATACACCAGTTTCTTCCTTGCTTAGTATTCTGTTTTGAAGTGCCATTCTTCCTGAAGATAAAAAGTGTACTGAAATGTAGTCATCTATGGAATGGAGAAGGTAAACTATAAATCAGGAAATTGTAGAGAAAGTGAGTACTCTTAACTAAGATTATCTCAAATTCTGAAATTTTAAAAAGTACTGAAATATCTAATGATTTACAATGGAATGTCCACAGCCAACACTGGTTCTAAACAAGTTGATTGCTATACTTTTCCTTAATAACCAATACTATGCAAAGTTGGAATTAACCCCTATATTTTGAACAGTAATTGTAAAATGCTAATACAGACCAGAATAATATATGAAATATAGGCAGGATGTTTGCAAGATGTATTTACACTTTTGTTTGAACTTAGGCAAAAGAGTGCTGCTTAAAATTAGTGCCTATATAATAAAGTATGAGTTTAAGATGAAAAAATTTCATTGAAATTGAAGTTAAAAACAGATCATCAACTGTCAGAAATTGACACATTACTAAAACTGTATAGCTAGAATTAGGATCCAGTTTGTAACTGTATAGTGAAAAGATGTTAGTCATTATATTGCTGTTTTAAAGCACTTTTCCCATTTAAAGCACATTTCCCATTTGATCTCCTTAATCTTCATAAAAACATAACATGAATTGTTATCCCATTTTACAGATGATAGGATTTAAGTTCAAAATACATGAAGTTATAAGAAAAAGAAATTATGATACTAGCAAATGATAGCTGGGATTTCAAAGTGTCAAATTCAAAGAACAAGAACAAAAAAGCAGGGGATAACAAATACGTAAAATAAAGGCAACTTAGTTAAGAAGATAATGCATCTTGGTACAGGCAAAGACAAGTGAGTATTTAGATGAAATGAGAGAGCACAGTTCATAATGGGGATATATATCAGAATCACCTAGGTAGCTTTTTCAAAACATACAAGTCCTGACCTCACCTGATCTGCTGAATAGAAATAAAAATGTATCTAAAGCCCAGACATGTTTCTGAAAAAGACTTTCAAGCAATTCTAACACACCCATGACTAAGAACCACTGCCCTGAAACACAAAGTGGAAAAACAAACGCACATATCTACAGAAGCAATCCAAAAATTAATGTACAAGTATGGGTTGGGTAATGGATAAAATGGACAGAGGAATTCTGACTACTTGTAACTGCTAAAAAGTTTATCCAAATGCAAGCAAGAGAAGGACATTACTATAGGGACACCCTTCAAAAGCAATGATTTATTTGAAAAGTAAATTATTTGCAAAATTATTATTTTAACTATCAGGAAATTTCTTACAATACAGCACACAAATGATTATAACACACTAATACATCAACAGCACAGTTGAGAATACCTGACTACAGGTCACATCTCCATCACAGAAATAATGGATATGAGATTGCCTGAGACCAAAGGTGCTAAAGGAGGTAACACTTTTCCAAATATCATCTCAACTTACTTTGGAGAAAAAGGAAGTAAGACCTACTTTTCTTTCCTAAAGTCTAGGAGCCCAGGTAAATCATGGTGATGAGCTTTACCTTAAGGCACCACGTCAGGCTTTCCATTTCTTCCTAAATATGATCAAAATTTAGAGATACAATTTCTTAATGTAGACAGAACTGAATTCAATTAACAAAGGAGCAAAGAAAACTTAAAACCAATTCCCATGAAGAGAGAAAAAAACTAACACTGAATGTGCTAAAGGAATCAAACTAAAGATAAGTGGTATCAATCAAGTTAATAAAATGATACATGATTTATCTACTGAGTGGTTTTTGATTTACTTTTCCAGAATGATTGCATTCATTTAAGAAGGAAAAAAAAAAAAGAACAAAGAAGAAAAAAAGACTACCTCCAAACATCCCTGTCAAATTCTATTCAAGTTTAAAGATACACAAAACCATTTCAATTGGTTTTAAAAGTAAATGGGTATTCCTCTCTTATATAGTCTCGAAAGATAATTTTCTATCTAGCATCTGGTCTAGTCGATTGATATAAGTGTTGTTACTCTAAAAATTCTAAAATTGTCAGAATAGTTAAACAATAATTTAGTGCCACATATCTCTAGTATTCCCTAGTTACTCAGAGGTCTGAGTTCCAAAACAGTTCCCCTAAAAGAGAAAACTAACACTTATGGGCATGCATCATCTCATCTGATCCCAACAAGGCACTGCAGTAGTTATTCCCATTTTTATTTCAAAGTGGCAGGCTAGTTCCATCCAAGACTAAAGTCCAGGTTTATTCCAATATATCAGGCTCTCTCTCAATTGGGTCTTAAAAATCCAAGAGAGGGAATTTTCAGATGAGTATCTGGTGCAAACAAGTAAATAAAAGTGTAAACGATTTAGGCAACAGAGATTCTACTGCTGTAGATTCCACTGGCATGGGGGAGGGAAAGAAGTCTTCAAAAAATACTTCTAGTGTGAAAATGTAGAGAACTATTTAAAATCTGTCCTAGATCATGCATGTATTTAAATTAAACATAGGTAGCAGAAGCAAATCATCTCTTGATTAAAATAGATTTTAAAAAGTAAAAATTACAGGATACCTATTTAAGTATGAGTTAAATTCTTTTCTTAATATAGGTATATCCTGTGCAATTATTTGGGTCATGTGCCTATAATCATTTTCAGAGAACACAGAAGAGAGAAAAATGAGACAAAAGGAAATTCTGAGTTTCTTAAACTGCATTTAAGAAAGATACTACAGTGCTCACTTTGGCAGCACATATACTAAAATTGGAACAATACAGAGAAGACAAGCATGGCCTCTACAAAAGGATGACACAAATTTGTGAAGCAGTCCATATTTTTAACCAAAACAAAGAGACACCCCACTGATTGGGAAAAAATCTTGGCACTCCATACAACTGATAAGGGACTGATCACAAAGATATACAAAGAACTCACATGACTCAACAAGAACAAAGTAAACAATCCAGTCAAGAAATGGGCAGAACTACTTAAAAGACACTTCTCCAAAGAGGAAATGCAAATGACCAACAGACATACGAAAAAATGTTCAACATCCCTTATAATCAGGGAAATGCAAATCAAAACCACAATGAGATACCACCTTATACCAGCAAGAATAGCACATATCAAAAAAACTAGCAACAAATGTTAGCAAGGATGTGGTAAAAAAAAATAGCTCTCCTGCACTGTTGGTGGGAGTGCAAACTGGTCCAACCACTATGGAAAGCTGTCTGGAGGTTCCTCAGTCTACTAAAAATGGAGCTACCATATGACCCAGCAATTCCACTCCTAGGGATCTACCCAAAGGACACAAAATCATTGATTCAAAAGAATACCTGTACCCCTATGTCTACTGCAGCACTATTTAGAATACGTAAAACCTGGGAACAACCCAAATGCCCAAAAACAGATGACTGGATCAAGAAGATGTGGCATATATACACAATGGAATACTATTCAGCAATCAAAAAAGATAAACTCATGCCATTCCCAGCAACATGGATGGAACTAGAAGGAATTATGCTCAGTGAAATAAGCCAGAAGGAAAAAGAAAATATCAGATGATTTCACTTATAGGGAAACCAAATAAGATCAGGAGGAAAAAATAATAATACAAAAGAGAACAAAACAAAACAAAATAAAAACAAACAATTTTTGGGGAGTGCTTTGATTACTGCTTCAATTTTGCCAAGTAAGACATCAGTATAAAAAAATAGTAACAGTACAAAACACAACAAAGCAAAAACAGACAATTATATATCAGAGACATACTGCAGGGAGGGAGGAGGGAGAGGAATCAGAGGGAGAGAAGGAGGAGCACAGAGGACTGAGGTGATGGTGCACAGGTGCATTAGGGAAGGAAATTCCATGGGGACTACACCTGGTTTGGGGGGGAGGCAAATATTGTTTAAAAATGAACAATGATGTAAATTTTTTTTTAAAAAAAAATATTAAAAAACTCAATTATAAACCAGAGATACGCTGCAGGGGGTGAGGAGCGAGAGGGATCGGAGCACAGGTGAACTGGTGAAGGAAATTATAAGGGGACTGTGTGTGTGTGTGGGGGGGGCAGACTGTTTAAAAATGAACAATGATGTAAAATACATATAAATAAAAAAATAAAATTTAAAAAAGATATTACAAACTCCAGATGTTCTACACATACTCCAGATGTTCCTAATTATTCACTATTTGATTACTTCCTTGTCATTTCATTCATTCATCTTATGTCTATCATTTATCACCTTATTTATACCACTGTTTTTTCTACCTTTTCATGTGTTGCATTTCTGAAACAGCCTTCAGGTTATGTGGAGTCCTTTATTTAAAGTCATTTTCTGGCCTCCCTGGTGAGGCAAGGGTTTAAGTCTCGGTACTATCAAGCTAAGGGCAGCCACAGCTGCACAGAATTTGATCCCCAGAGCTAAGCTACATGGTGCAGCAGACCTCTCCATTTTCACCCACTGCTTGCTCCCCTCAGCAATGTATTTCAGTCAGTCTACCTGTTCTGCTCCCCACTCTGTCTCTGGGTGAATCCTCTCACCACCATACCTGTGGCCTACACCCCAGTTCTTGTATGCATAAATAAATAAAAATAGATCTTTTTTTAAAAAGTCATTTGCTTTAACTATCAACTCCTACCTATTTCAGCTGTTATTATAGATTAAGTTGCATCATACAACAAGAAAGGGAAAAAAATCAATGTATCTTTCCTGAAATTCATACAACAATATAGTTGTAGTGTGGGTCATAAAAGCTTTTCCTTGTGTACTTTCTTTTATATGACACTGCAGAAATATACTAATGAAAATTGTGTATAAAAACAATTTAAATTTGAACACATATTTTACCAAAGACAGTACTATTTATTAGTAAAAAGAGCTATGTATACACATTTTGCACTTTTTATAGAAACAATGAGAAGCGTTAAACTCAGATGTAAAATAGCTAATTTTACTTATACTAAACAGAATAGAATCATAAACACAGGAAGAGTAATGACTCTAACTATGCCTATCGTAGATGGACCTGGGAACATTTTCTTCTCAAAGACTGGAATTAAGGTGACATTCAAAAAATAAGTATAAAGACAGTTTAATTAAAACCAGAGCTGAGAAATCCTAAATAATTAATCTGATAATTTACCTGGACAAAATTTATAATCATATACCTATCAAAGTCCCTGTTACTCATGACACTTATATAATTTTGCTTGTGAGATTATGATCTGTTACTCCTACGTTCTAGATAGCACATATTCAACTGCACATACCCATTTACATATGACATCCGGTGAGAAATGAAGAAATGGTCTTAAATGCTTGGTAATCAATACAAATACTTTGTATTTTGAAGTTTAAATACAACCTTACAACAAAGAGAACCTAAACTATACAATGATAAACCAATTGATCAGTTTTTTCTGTTACTCTTGGCTAAATTGTTGTTTCAAAATAGGATGGAAATTTATAATTCACTTAGTGAATCTTTTTCTCTAAGGTCTTTACCACTGACTAAAAAAGTATATCCATACTCCTATTAAAATTTTTTTGCCTAGTTTTCGAATTACAAGTTAAGTAACTTGTTACATTTTAAAGTCACATTTTACTGCCATTTCAGAAAAGGGAGAAAAAACATAAAATTACCCCACAACTTTTCACTCCTTAAATTTTTCCCCCTTCAACTTAAGAATCAGTCCTCACAACCCCACAAAATGTAGTGTCATTAAACAAGTTTAAATTGTGTCACATTTTAAAATTGGGTGGGCCCTACACTATACAATATAAGCAGTTGATTCTTTCCCTCTTTCTTTTGAAAGAATTAGAAGTATTACATTAATGTAACACATTAGCAAAGCCTGATTAAGTTGCCAACATGCTGACCTTTTTTTTAATTTGTAATGCTTACCATTTTTTATTACATTCATGCAAAATCTCTTTCTGATAACCAACAAATAAGTCAACTAGTTTGAAATCATCTGTGCATTTTTAATCTAAAACGTACTTTGAATTCATGAATTAACAAGTCACTGAAGTTTGGAGGCACTGAAGTGGCTAGGGAGAAAGTTCAAATATTTTAAACTACACTTGTATTTTCACATGGAAACCACAGACAAACTGAAATGAAATGTCATGTGAAACACCCCAATTTCCTTTTCAGCATATGGCAGCAGCTATAGCATTGTTCAGCTCAAACCTTAAACAAAAAAGCCACTTATGTTCGCTACTTCCTCTTCTCTGCTGAACATCAGTCTTCTACTAAAAGTCTCTGAATCAGGGAGCTAGGATGAAAGTCAAGAATTAATAAGCTCCTTCTTCAGCCTCCTAGGACGAAGTTAACGTGTTCTTTAAGGCCTCACTGCCTTTCTCAGCCCCCTCGGTCGGGAAAGCGGCCCCACGAGCCTAGCCCCAATCCAGCAAAGGGCCCGCTCGCCACAGTGAAAGTAACTTCCACTTGGGTCCGCGGCGGGGCAAACCCGGGCGGTCGAGAACGACCCTCCCTCCCCTCTCAGCCGCTTCTGGGCACATTCCTTCCCCACCAAAGCAAGAGCCCACACTTTATTGCCGAAATAAACATTTACAGAAGTGTCAGAAGGTGGCTTTCATCCCTACCCATATTTTAAATCACGGATATTCTAAAAACCCGCTTTCCCTTTCTCTACCAAAGGCAAAAACAAAACCACCGCTTCTGCTCGGCAAACTAGAAAGCAGGCGCTTATTTCACAGTAAGAAATTATCCGCTTCGTTGAAGCAACATTTCACTTAAGACCTGTGGGGACTTCTGAAGTCGCGCCCCACTGTGCGACCTGTCAGCCCGGCGGCAGTCACCCGGCGGCCTGGGTAAGAAAGGCGAAGCTCTCGAGGGCTCCGGTTCCTCATTCCCGTTCTAAAACATAAAAGCACCATTTCAACAGCAATCGCGGTTTAAACGCGAGAACGCGTCGTCCTCCTTTAGAGTCTTATTATTTCCCTAATCCTAAAATCAAGTCGCTGGGAATTTCTACGGTTCCGGCCAGCCCAGGGGCACCAAACGCCAGAGCGGGGCTTTGATTTCGCAGGCAAACCCCGAACCGGGCCCCTTTTCAAAAAGCTGACACCGCGCCAGGCGAGGCAGCTGTGAAGCCGGAAGGCGCCACCACCAGGGCCGAGCCCCCAGGCGCGCGCAGCGGTGCCCGCGGGACCCCCCCGCGCCCCCCGCGCGGGCACTCACCCGAGGCCATGGCGCCGCCGCCGCTCGCTCCGCGCCGCGCGCAGACTGGAGCCGCCGCGTCCGTGAGGCGGCCGAGCACCTCTGCCGGCGGGACCCCCGGGCCCCGGACCACCCCCGGCGCCGCCTCCTCCTCCCCGCCCTCCGCTGGGTTTAGCGGCTCACACCTCCCCACCCCCTGGATTCTCGCGCTCCGGTCGCCCAGCGTCGCCAGCGCAGGTTGCGGGAGTTCGGCCGAGAGGGCGGAGCGCGGCGGAGCCCAGCGCCGTGGGGCCCAGGGGAGGGCGGCGGGGGATTTCCCGCGGCTGACGTAGCCGCTCGCCGCCACCTTCCTCGGGGGCGGGGGGCGGGGCGTCGGCGCCCGCCCGCCCGCCCGCACCCGGCGTCCCCGCCCCTGCGCGCCCCCGCGCGCCCCCGCGGCTGCCACGCGCTCGAACGCGGTCCGCGGAGCCCGGGCGCGGGACCGTCGGGAGCGCGGGGGACGCCGGGAGCGGGAGGCGCGGTCCCGTGCGTGCGAAAGCCGCGGGCACTGAGAAATCCCCCTCCCCCGTCGTCCTTCCGCGAGCAGTGTAAAGTTCAGTGGCCGGTGGGCGGCACGATGACGTCGCGAGGGCCGGCCGCCGGGAGTGTTTGGAGGCGGGCCGGGCGGCGAAGTCGCGGAGCCGGAGGGCTCGGCTGTCCGGGGTTTTCGAGGGGTGGTTCCCCTTCTTCCCGATTTCGCACATGCAAATCCCGCCCCCGCGCCGGCGGGCGGCGCTGCGCGGGCCGGCCCGGAGCCCAGGGGAAGCGCGGAAGCCGCCGGCCTCGGTGGCGTCTGTAAGGCACGTATTTGCATATGGGGACCCCTGGAGCCCCGCTTCTCCCGCCCCTTGTATGTAAATTCCTATTATCTATACATTCTTAACCTACTAAAACTTTTTAAATTTACGGCAGAGCGACTTGGCTGTCTCATTACGCAGTGTACCCGAGATGAGTGTGGTGGACACTGGCCTGGAATTTGGGGGAGACGTCCGCGGGGAAAGGAGGATGAGACATTTAGAATATTCGAGGACTCCAGTGTTAACTTTGTTTCCTTCGTGTGCTGAATACCTCCTGTGTGTCATTTTACAACGTACTATTTATAACGTTATCTTCATTTTATAGGTGAGGCAACCGGGGTTCACGAAGGTAATTTGTCCATGCTTCAGAATGCTGGTAAAAAGTAAAGCAGAGTTTTAACCCAGGGTTGTCTGATTCCACCGCTCCATGCTCTTTCTACTGTGCCTTGCTGTATGGAGGGGGGATAGGAATATCACTGTGTCATATGGGCGCCTAAAACTCGCGTCTCCAATTGGGGAAATAAAAACAGCATCTCCAGTCAATCCACAAAACACACTGTCCACAAAATGTAGAAAATACTAAAAGTTTTCTTGACTAAGCATCAAGACACAGTGTGATGCACAAAAGAGATTGCAAAGAAGTCTCAGGCCTTTATAGAGCCAGGCAGATCCAGTCCATTATGTACTTGTCTTTCGCCAAAGGAAGAAAACAATGGGAATAACTTCTTGGAGCCCCAAGAGCCTAAACTCCCACGGAGACAGGAAGAAGGGGCACCATTCTCCTTGATGTTCACATTTCAAAGAGATGGCTCTAAGTCCCACATGAAAGACCTTAGGAGGATGCAAAACTGGCAAGAGGCTTATTTAGCTTTTTTAAAAAGTATACATATATCTCAAAGAGGGAAAGCATTTACAATTTCGACTTTTCTAAAGGAATTGCTAAATGCGAAGGTTGAGGCTAATGTCTTCTGTCCTCTTGGCACTAGAGAATGATTTAACTAAAAGTTTTAGTCCTGTGTTTACCATTACAATATTGAATGTCAGACTGTAAGGGCAATTGAGCACAAATATTTAAGAATCCATTAGGAGGTCCAGCGACAAATAAGAATGGGAAATGTTTATTTGTTTATAACCCACTTCCAGAAACAGATAGCTTTTAGGTGCTTCTTTAACTTAATAGGGCATAATGTTTGTTTATTGAGGAGTTCTGGACCAAATAATCTGTCCCAGTTGCAATACCCCAGACTAGCTCTAAAACCACCTCTATTTATGACATCACAAATTGCACCTTACGAGATTTAAAACTACAATTTTTCAGTCAATTTGTTTTATCTTTTATTTTTCAAAAACTCACCCTTATTTAAATCACCCCACTGATAGGATGGCATATCTGTATTTATTTCCAGGGCTAGTTTTATTTGTCATATGACTAAGCTATGGATTTATGGTATCTCATTTTTTTTTCTTTTCTTTTCTTTTTTTTAAAAAAGATTTATTTATTTATACAAGCACTGGGTACAGTCAGAAGCGCGGGAGGGTGAGAGAATTCACTAGAGCCAGAGAAGGGAACAGAACAGGCCGATTGACGAAGAAATACAGTGTTGAGGGGAGCAGCCAGCGGCTGGAGAGGTCTGCAGGCCACGTGGGACCCTCACTCAGTGGCCGGGGATCGAACCGGTGCTGCAGAGGCTGCGGGCAGCTTCGCAATCCAGCGCTCAACTGCTGCGCCACTGGGGAGGCCCCTATGGTATCTCATTTTTAAAGTTTTTTTTATAACCCTTTCACTATTTCTTTAATTAGCTATGCCCTTTTTTCAAAGATCCAGTCCATATCTGAAAAGTAAAAATATTTTACTTGTGCAGGATAAAATTTTTCTTTAAGATTTTATTTATTTATGGGCCTCCCTGGTGGAGCAGGGATTAAAGTCTCTATAGCTCTATCAAGCTATTGCCAGCCACTGAAGCGTGAGTTTGATCCCTAGCCAGGGAGCTAACCCACATGGTGCAGCAGACCTCTCCTGTGTCGCCTGCTGCTCCCCTCAGCAGTGTATTTCAGTAGATCTGCCTCTTCTGCTTCCCTCTGTCTCTGGTGAATCCTCTCATTCCCCCCACCTCGGCACCTCTGGCCTACACCCCAGTTCTTCTGTGCATAAATTCTTGTATGCATAAATAAAAATAAAAATCTTTTTTAAAAAGCTTATGCATACAAGATCTGGGGTGTAGGTCAGAGATGGGGGGATATGGGGGAGGCGTGTGTGTATGTGAGAGGTTCACCAGAGACATATTGGGGAGCAGAACAGGCAGATTTACTGACATACACTGCTGAGGAGAGCAGTGGGCAAGACAGAAGTCTGCAGAGCCATGTGGATTAGCTGGAGTCGGGAGGGGAAACTCATGCCTCAGTGGCTGGTGATAGTTTGCGAGCACTGAGACTTAACCCCTATGCCATCAGGGAGGAGCTGTGCAGGATAAACTTATGTAGAAAAACAAGGAAGATTACAAGGCTGTAGATGGGCTAAAAGTAACAAAAATGTGAATAGTAATTTTTATTTTGGAGGGGACATGTGCTGGGGAGAAAAAGCTTATCACTGTAAAGATGATTGTCAGCTAGTTATTGGAGACTGTAGAATAGCAAATGATATTTTTCCTGGAGTGCTTACAGTCTTGACACTATTTGTTTCTTTCAACAAATATTTACTCTGCCAGGAGCTCTTTAGGTAGCGACACGTATATTATTAGAATCTCCGCTTTTGTGCAGCTGTGTTCTACATGAACGATATCAAGTATGTTAGCAAATAAGATCACTTAAAATATCTTATTTCTTTATTGTTGTAAAATTAAGGCAGCGGGGGTGTTAAGGAAGATTGTAAGGTGCAATTCCAGTTGTGTAAAGAAAACTATTGGAGAGTTTTAAGTGTGTGACTGATTTGTGATTATATTTTTTGAGATGTTTACACTGGCTGTAAGTATACCCTGACTAGGCGCAAGAGTGAAGGCAGAGCAGTTGAGAGACTGTTGCAGTAGTGTGAGATGTAAAAGTGGTTTTGACTAGTCTTTTAGCAGCAGAGATGGTGAAAGGAGGTCAGATTTAGTTAGATATTGTGGTGAAATACCTACGACTTCTTGATGGATTGAATGCAGGTAAGAAGGGGAAAAAAAGGGATCAGGGATATTACCTCCAATTTTCATCTAAGCAATTAGCTAAAAAGGAAGACTTGTGAAGAAGTAAATTTAAGAGGAAAATCAGGAGTTGTGTTTTGAACATATTAAGTTAGTATACATCCTAGCAGACAGTTGAATATACAGAACTGGTATTCAGTTCTCAGTTAAGGGAAGAGGTCAGGGCTAGAAATAACAATTTGGAAACCAGAAGTATTTCATTTTAGACAGTATCACCTAAAGAAATTTCTAAAAAAAAAATCCTAGATTGGGCCTCCCTGGTGGTGCAGGGGTTAAAGACAGCGCTATTAAACTATTGCCATCCACTGCAGCTTGAGTTTGATCCCCGCCCTGGCCAGGGAGCTACCCACATGGTGCAACAGACCTCTCCTGACTCGTCCCACTGCTCCCCTCAGTGGTGTATTTTGGTAGATCTGCCTGTTCTGCTCCCCACTCTCTCTGTTGAATCCTCTCACCTCCCCCCCCCACCTCTAGCTTACACCCCAGTTCTTGTATGCATAAATAAATAAATATTTAAAAAAAAAAGAATCCTGGATCCTCCCAATCTTAGAGAACTAGTAGAGGAGAAGGAGTGGATAGTGAATTATGAGGGAAGAAAACTGAGATTTTGGTGTCCTAGAGAATGTTTCAAAAGAATGGAAGTGATTAGCTGTGTTAAATACTGTTGAAAGACCGAAAAAGATGAGAATAAAGAAATGACCTTAGAGTTGGCAAGAAGGAGTCATAAATGACCATAAGAGCTGTATCAGTGGCGTGGTAGGGATGAAAACTGAACTGGAGGACGCTGAGAAGAGAATGATGAAAAGGATGAGTATAGACATCTCTTTGAAGAGTGCTAAAGGAAACAGAAATGGGGTAATAGCTGGAGGGGAATGTGGAGTTTTATCAGGCTAAGGGCTATCACTGACCTCAATCTCAACATGTTAACACAATTCAAGTTTATCACATGAGTCACAGTCCAATGTAAGTTGAGAAGCTTTCTTCCAGGAGTAGCCCAGGGATGCAGGTGCCTCCTGTCTTGTAGCACCAACATGTGATCCTTAGAGACACC